GGGTGAATAGAACGAGCCAGTTGCCGCTGTGCCGACCCTTTAAAGACTCTCTGCCCATGACGCGAGCAATCGCCGGTAAAAGTCGGGAGCTTTTTCCGATAATCTATCGACAGATTGGACCCTCGGGGAGTCTGTGAGCGTGTCCTGCAGTTACAAACGATGCTCAGTCGCTGTAAACTGCATCTCGTGCATAGGCCCTGCAGTGGTCGAAAAGAGCAAAGACTCGTTGCTCATGACGCGAGCAATTGCTGGTGAAGTCCCTGCTCCCTCGCGGCAGATTTAATACCAGTGGAAACTTTACTTTAATCATGGAGACATTCGAGAACCACCATTGCCATGTAGATGGAAGCTCTAAAGCTCGGGGTCTGGCTCCAAGGTACCCACATAGTGCACTGTCACCTCATCGCCTGCCTGAGGAAAGCAACCACCGAGTTCGATGAAACCGGGGCCAAAAACGAGGCCGAGCCTTCGGCATCAAGTAGTTGGACTCCGGTGCTGCCTTCACGATCTCCTTCTTCACACCTGCACCACGACACACTCCCAAAGCCTCGCTTTGAAAAACAACTGCTCCATGCCGTTCTGCGGCATGGAAGCCGAGCCTTCCGGCAGTTCCTGCTGCATACCCATGTCATCATCACTCATATCATCGCCTCAGTACAGATGTCCACAGAAAGCGCAGCAGGGATGTGCTTGGAACAAGGCCTGCGCCTCCCATAGGAAATGCATTGTCTGCACCTCCGTCGTCTGACATCTCCGACCTTGGATGTCACACAGAAACGTCGCGGTGCAATTGTGCGGATACACGCCAACTCAGGCTGAGGCATCCTGAAACAACGAACTAAGGCAGAGCCCAGGCGAGCCCACGGACTGCTCTAACCCTTCGACCCGGAGGGACTCTAAATCTAGGAGAGGCTGCTCTTTGCAGCGAGGTTCCTGGGCATGAAACGCAGCTGCAGCAACCCGTCTGGTCGCGAGTCGCACGAAAGGAGCCGTCTTTACGCAGCAATGGCCGGAGCCAAAAAGAGCCAAGACCTCCGTAGTGCTTTTCCCTTTGCCCTGCAGCTTAGCTGCGATTCTCTTCTCCGCGAACACCGAATTTATCGTTGCAGTGCTGGAGCGATCTGCGACAAGATGACCTGCTGCCCTCGTAGAATACGTCTAGGTCACTGCTGTCTCGTCCGTCTCGTCCAGCTATTCAAGCAGGGGATTGCAAGGGTACAAGTCTGGGGCTCTCCTCTTCATGTCAACGATCTGCTGCTAGCCCCCTGCTACAGAGAATGCAGCAAATCTCGAATTATCTCAGGAGCGAACCCAAGCTACCATAAAACAAATGCTGCGTGCACTATCCACGCCAGGGTCTGGCAATTAATGCACTCTCAGGCACCTCCTCCTGCAACGGCACGACCCGATGAAGCCTTGAGCACCGACTGACTCTACCAGAGCTGGACCTTCGCCGCACGTCTCGCAGATCCGGCCTTTGGCAACTTTTCTGGTCGGCCACTCTTTAGCCTCAGAGGTTCACTCACATGCTGTCCCGAACAACTAGCACACCCGGGTAACTTTCAGAAAAGGGGAAAAGGCTGCGATGACTCGCAAACTAAACTTCGTCCCCATCTGCCCAAGTAAAAACATTGCCTGCAGCTGCTGTTGGAGTACTGTATCATCTGATGAACAGATTTTTGCCATGTGCGGCATCTCTCCGCGCATAATAGCAGTGAGAAGGAAGGGTGGCCTATGATAAAGATTCATATTAAGAGATTCTTGGAGAAATCGGCTTCCATTCAGTGCGAAACTTCTACGACTAAGCTCCAGACTCGGCAACCCGCTTGCGCTTGGCCTCTTTGCCCTCCCGCGCGTCGGGGACTCAGCGCGGTCACTTCGGTCACTGCGTGTTCGGAGGCTTGGGGGACGGAAGCGGAAGCACTGGCTGGGGAGCCCGCCCGGATTGTGCACTTGAGCAGATCGCACGAGCAAGCCCTGCAGGATCTCCGGAAACTTGATGACCTAAGGAGACAAAATGCAGGGGCACGTGGAGAAGTCTAGAAGCAAGGACGCCTACCTCCTCAGCAGCTGCGATGCGCTGCAAAGCATCCCTGCTGTAGACGACCTCCTCCTCAATAGCTCCATACCTGCTTGGCTCTGCAATTGTGCTCTCATGTGCCCCCGTGCCGTAACAATATTTCATAGCGGACCCCCGCAAGACGGACTTGCGAAACTGTGGCAGGTCACATCTCCTCAAGCCCAAACTCTTTGCACGTCTGAAGCCTGGAGACAGCCTGGACGCTGCACGAACTAGACTAGCCTTTAAGGGTGACCCCTAATCATGCAGATCTGGGATGCAAGCGTTTTGGCAGGTCAAGTTCTGGCCCAAGTATCGGGTCGCTGATTCCTCTCAGGCGAATCGGCAAATCAGCTCGTGGCAGCTGAGGGCAGAACTGCCTGGAGGCAGGGGACATCCAGTTGCGTCGCCAAGCGCAGCACGTCTTGGTTGGCCTCAGGGCCCAGAGATAGCCCATGCCCATGTCGTGCTGGCTGAGCCGAGACCGCGACAGCATCCGAGCTGATGTTGTATTCTGAACCCAGGCCGTAGACCAAGTCCAAGAGAGCTCTTGCTGCCTGTCCGGACAAGACATGAGAAGGCCAGCTCGGTCACCGCTGTGTTTATGGCCTCAGGGCTGGCGATGTCCAGGTGCATCTCAGGACGTGTTGGAGCAGGGAGGGATGGCACCTGAAGAGCTTGCAAGCGAGACCAAGACATGCTAGACAGAGTGGAAGTGCTTCTGAGTCTCTTGCGGTGGGCTCCTCCAGAGTTTTCTGGGGCTCTTCAGGCACGTTCTTGCCTCGGGCTGAAAACAACCTGACGCCTGCTCCTCCAGCCAAAACGTTTAGCGGCAGTTTTGATCTTGACAGTTGCTGTCATCCGACTCCGCAGATGAAACTCCGACGAAGGCAAGGTGTAAAACAAGCGCCGAAAGCTCCACGCTGTCAATGCCACGGAACCCTCGGCAGGCTCGGCTTTCGCATCGACGGCAACGGGAGGCACAGGGGCAGTGGAGCTCGGCGCTTTCCACTGATTGCTATAGATTGGAGGCGATGCTGCTGGCACCTGTACAGAATCTCCAAGCACCAATACCCAAACAACAGGTATCCACACCCGCGCAGCACCTGTGCCAGAGACGATGTGGTGGCCACTTCCAGGTCGGCTTGGACAGTCTTCTCTTCTGGGCCGGACGTCGGTGTCTGCCCGAGGCAAGCGGTCTGCAAAATAGCTCATGCTCGCACCCGGATATCGTTTTCATGATGCCCGGAGCCTTCTCAGCCTTCTCAGCCTTCTCAGCCTTCTCAGCCTTCTCCAGATCGCTGCTGGCAGTTGAGGGCGATGGAGGCTGACCTTCTGTAGGCTGCGAGAGACTGCACCCCTCCTGGGGCCTGCCAGGCATCGGGCGCTGCTGGAAGTCTTTCACGGCCTGCTCGTACAGTACACGAAAGTGTGGGCCCGGTTCTCGCTTTTCTGCCGTCGCCACCACTCTTTTAAGTTCCTACTTCCGAACCATGTTACGGGTTGTTCGAGGGAGGGTATGTCGGTGATGGAGTGGGGTGGTGGCCTTCTGCACCTGCTCACAGCAGGCCCGACTCATCGATGCCAGAACCACCTTCAAATGCAGAATGCGGTGACTGCAGACATGCGAGAATCAAGCTTGAAACGTACACCTGTGAAGCTCATGGAAGTTCTGATGGCCGGTGGCGTGAACATCTGTTGAGCCACAAGCCACCAGTCACTAGTCACTAGTCATAGTCAGTGCAATGGTCGCACCTTGTGAGCGGGCAGACGAGTTGTCCCAACGACCAAGTTCAGGTCATACCTCGGGCGCTTTGACTCTTTACGAACTCTGCCGAGTCGCACTGCCGGCCAAGAACGGCAAGACGAGTTGTGATGAATCGCACGGATGCGCAATGGGACGACCAAACTCAGACATCCCAGCCATGCGCCGGGACTGGGAACCTTGCAGCTGGCAGGTCTGGTAAAGGATCTTGATGCCTTAGTTGTGCAGCTGCAGGAAACGCAAGTCAGTTGACAGGGTCGATCTCGGAAGTCGACCTTCTGCGAGGTTCCGCTCTGTGGGCAAGGAGGGCAAGTCATCCACCTGCCCCGAGATGCACGAGGCCTTGTGGTACTGCTGCACAGCATACACCTCGCCTGAATCTCCAGCGGAGTTGTCCCGGCAGCTTGCAAGTTGCTGACGGCAATGACCTCTGACTCTCAAAGAACAGAGCGAACACACTACTTATATAAGGGCTCTTCGAGAACCTGGCCTTGCCCCACTGTGTCATCTTGACAGCAATCCCGGAGGCACCGTTTTCTCAATAATTGAGCTTGGGCAAAGCAAATGCAAGCTTGGTATCCTGAGGGACAATGCTTTGTTACAATGCCGGCTCGAACCGGGAGGCCGCTAACACTGATCCTCGAAGCCTGCGAATATCTGCGAGTTCTTTCCGATTCTTTTCGCCGCCAACTGTCAGCTCACACCCTGGAACTCATCCGGGTCGACGGTGTGTGCCGTAGAACCACCTGGCGTCAAATTTCATCCTGAAGCAGATAGATCATCATCGTCACCTATGCCATCATGACTGTCAACTTCAGTATCAGTATCAACATGATCTTCACTACAATCATCACCACCACGGCCGACAAAGCTAGTCGTGGTGTGACAATAGCAGCAGGAGCAGGACCCTGACCAGTGGAAGCAGAAGCAGCTAGAGAAGGTGAAGAGGAAGTGAAGGAGTGGGAGAGAGGACAACGACGATGACGAGCAGCAGTGGTCGCAGCAATAGTTGCACTTGCTGCCTCTGCATGTGGATGTGGTTGCTGATTTTGTTGATACTTTCCGTCCGTTGCTGCTGTCAGCGTTGGGGTTGGGGTGTTCCTTCCTCTTCTTGCTGCGACTCGGCGCTGTCCCGTCCCCGGCTGCGCAGGATGCCTTCCAGGATGGAGCCCAGGTTTCCCACGTCGATCGCCTGCGTGCCGCGGCAAGCCAGCTCTGCGACCAGGATGTCGGCAGACGTGCCCCAGCTGACAGCCACCTAAACAGACCAATCACAATGAAACGGCTTCGGAAAGTCTTCGCTACACCAGACTCAAAGTCACCTCTGCCTCGCCGTCACCCCACTAAGCTGCAGTCAGGCAACCAGGTCTGCCCGGGCCTGCGCGACTGCCGCTAGGGTTGCCTTGCGATGCCGCAGAGCTGGGGCTCTAAGGACTCTAAGGGCTACGAGGACTCTGGGCGGGGGGCACCTTCAGCACTCCGGACCAAGCAGACCCCAGAGGCGGCTCATGGCCCACCAGGTCAGGGTTCAAGGCGAGCACCTTCCCCAAAAAACTCAAAAAAAAAAACAGAGAAATGCCAGGCCGCAGGCCGCGGCTCCTGCCTCGCGAGATCTGGAGTAAGGTGGAACCTTCACTCCGTGCCCCAGCCTCAGTCGCGACCCGAAGCGACCCGACGCCTACCTCAAAGAATCTCAGGCCCACGCAGCAAACTCGAAATTTGCCTGCAACCGCCACATCGCTTGATGAAGAGATAGTCCAACGCAGCCACAACCAGCACCTCTGGGCCATGTCCAGCAACGTGGCGAAAGCGTGATGGCCCCATGCTTCAGGATCAGAATTTAAAATGCTCCGTGCATGGCAAGTTGCGGTTTTGTTGACAAAGACCTCTTCCCACTGCGCTCGAAACTGCGTGAGGCTCATGGCCT